CTCTTTTGGTGAAGAGCTTAAAAGCTACTTTTTGGCTTTTAACTTCTTTTGGTCACATCACTTTTCTATTTTTTTACACGTCTTTTTAATAAATACTAAAAAAGCCCCAAAAAAAATAGCTTTTAACCTATTTCTCGAAACAAGTCAATGTATATTTGTTCCTTTCAAAATGTGATTTTTAGTTAAAAAGTCACTATAAATTGTCATACCATTCTCTTTATATTTTTACATATTTTTTTTTATAGAAAGTAAAATAGTTAAATTAAGCAATTCTCAAAGAGATGGGCTTCTTTCATGTTGAAATCTCAGCATGGGAGAACTTGAGAGGCCTATAAGGCCCACCATAAGTTCCATTTCGATGAGCCAAATCGTTCATTTTATAGAGCTCTAATGTATAATATTCATGACAAAATTTAGGTAAATTCGATAATCGTAACCTTTTTAATTTATAACATTTGTCTAAAAATGTGAATAATCTATTTCAAAAATATATTTGTTTCAATGACAAATATAGTACAATGAAAAAGTTATGAATATTGGATCAAACTAATTTTTTTCATGGATATTATACATTAAGTGTTTTACAAGATGAATGGTTTAAATTATCAAAACGGGACTTGTGGTAAGCTCTATAGGCCCCTCAAGTTGTCTCATGTTGAGATTTCAATATGAGAAAAGCCCAACCCTAAATTGTTCTAGTGATTGAATGTTTGTTTTCATTTCCAAATTTGTAATGTTAAGATTGACTGTGAACTGAAGAGCATGTCGAAGAGACCAAAATTATGCTGTATACTAGAGCTGTAATACTAGATATGAGCTCAATGACACGATTGAAATCACAATATGTATCTAACCACTACCTTGTTATAGTAGGACAAGGGGGTATGGTTTCAAATTCCTTGAATTGAGTAGTTGAATTAAATAATAGGGGATATGTTAGGTGTGTATTAAGTTTTGTCTATTGTAAGTTTGATTATTATAAATGGCATAATTCAATATTATGGAAGCTCTAACTTAAAAAAAAAAAAAATATATATATATATATTATAACAAAACATCACATAATGTATAAAACACAATTATTGGATCATAACCAAAATAATGTTATAACCAATATCACAATAAGTCATAATTAACAATACAATACGTTAACGGTTATAATCAAAGATACAAAGATCATAACTAAGGGTGCATAGGATCCATACCGCAAAGGGGGTTTGTACCATAAAATTTCCTATAATTTCTAATATATATTAGAGAGATAAAATAAATGTACGGTTGAGTTTGGTACTACTGGCAATTTTCAAATTTTTTTAGACAACCAAATCAAAGAATGATAAATTTGACAAGACATGATAACACGACTCAAACAACAGACAAAGTTAATGAGTTAGGGTTGATCATTTCCTGATACACATATACATGACACAATGTGATACATGAATATTAACATATTGGGTTAGTGTCAAATTTTTATAACACAAAATTGACATAAATAACCTGTATAATGAAGAATTAATTATATATTTTAATATTATTTTTTCTAAGGACTATCATGAGATTTTCTAATCTCTTGTAATTTCATCAACTTATTAAAATGTACGTAAAATAGAATATAAAAATAATGAATTTTTTGCCTACTATTTTAGTTAATCTCATATAATTTGAAGACAACGAATATTTTTACCTACTATTTGAGTTAATCTAGCAAAAAATATAAAAATAGAATATATTATTTGTAAATTAAAAAAATAAAAATAAGGTGAAATCAAATATTGTTATAAATAATTTTTATCATACACTATATTTTTAGTAAGTTGTGAATTTTTTGACATGAGACATTTGGAGTGCTTCTCTGTGTGAGTTTCGGATTTGATCAATTCGTTTATTGACAGACGGAGGGAGGGGGCAAATCACACTATTAATCACTTGTTTGGTTTTAATTGATTTTCTAAAAATTAATTTTTTTTTAATTTTTTAAAAAATATTTGAAGTAAAGTTTTTAATTTAATTTTTAAATACACCTAATTTAGATGTATTTCAAAAGTTAATTTTTTTTTTCATTTGTATAATATAGTGTACTTACAATTCTAGTATATATAACTCAAGCATTGTACAGCTTTATTTGTTTATGGGCCATGCCATGCCATTTCATTAAATTTTTATTTTTGTTTTTGGTGAAGAACATGAAATAGTTTGATGGTATATAACAGTTCTCATCTTACTTGAATGTGAGATTAATACATTGCTGAGGCTATAATATGATTATTTGTAATGATTCAAGAATTGTATGAGAAAGGGGGGTAGAAAATTTGGGTCTCTATGCCTGTCACCTTTGGGTTGCTTACCAGCTCTGAGAGCAGCAAACCCTAACACTGTGTTTGGTTGGGGGATTTGGGGAGGGATTTGGAAAGGGAAAGGGAAAAGGTGTGTGAAACTAGGTGAAATGAAGGTATATTTTATTCACATTTCATCTACCTTTTTCATTTTTCTTTCCAAATTTGTCCTCAAATCCCCCAACTAAACACAGCATAAAGGCAATGAAGGAGGTTGTTTTGAAGAAGCTTGTGCCCTAGCACTATAATAATGCTCTCAAAGCTATCCTCACCAGCTTTGAACATCTATTTAAAGGTTTCAAGTATTGCAACTCCAATTTCTATGGCTGGTTTGAAGATAGAATTAATAATCCCTCTAAGTATGGTATGTGTATATTCCCTATTTCTCAATTCCTCAAATTCATCCTTTATTCGTCTAGGAATAATGTTATATAAATTAATAAATTTTACAAATTTTTATTACTTGCATGAATTGTCTCGATCACATATAAACATGGTAAAGATCATGAAGTTGAAATGTCATGTGTTATTTAGGTAGTTGGGTTTTATTTAGAAATGTCGAGTATTTAGAAGGAAAAAAAAATACTTAGAAAAAGTACTCCTAATTTGATTGTATTATGCATTTAAACTTGGGTCACAACGAGAATAAATCTTGTTTACATATTTGAAATTTTGGAACTTTTCTAAATATGTTTTCTCAATATGTAACAGAGTTTCATTCGATTCTTCTATCTAGTAGAATTGCTATAAAAACTAGACAATTAAATCTAGCTATTTAAGCTTGTGATGCACTGTGGAGCCTATAATCATGTAATTATATGATTAAATGATGTGCATTCTTGCAAAGCATTATTATGATCATGATGAACCTTTGTAATATATTTAGTTGGAAACAGCATTGCATTGCATGTACCCCAAAATTTTTTTTTTAAAGCAAAGTACATAATTTAATTTGAACATGTCAACTTTAAATCTACACTATAAAACTTTATGTAACGCCCTCAAAATAATACATAAACCCAACATTCAAGATATCCATAGACATATGAGAATAAAGCATATTTTCATTTATCAGAGTATTCATTACAGAAGTATTACATGTTGACAACAAAAGTAAATGCCTTACGGGCTTACAACTTTCCAAACCAACACTTGGTTACAAAAAGAGAGTACTAACTCAAATACACATTAAGCCCTTGGCTTGAATTTACATGTAATATCAAAAGAGAACAACAAAAAGAGCTATCAGCCTCAAGCCTCCCAAGTTACGTCTTTGGAGGTGGCATATCACCTGAACCTGAAAATGATATCCCATATAGGGTGAGCCAAAGTCCAGTAGAGATATACTAAACCAAATATAAGAAATAATTAAAACGTTAGCATTCGATATATGATTAACACTTGTAAACCAACTTACAATACTTTCCAGTTCCATGACAAATATGTTCATATTTCACTACACCTTCTTTTACTTCCAATTCAAATTTATAAACATGGCTCATTATCTAGCCGAACAAGTAAATGAGACTACGCTCATATCAAAACACTTCCAATACTTCAACTATCAATGGAGTCCATCCCCTATCTCCTCCCAAACAGGTTTGAGAGTACATCCCCTATCTTCTCTCAAACCATGGAGTACATCCCCTATCTCCTCCCAAACAATATACATATATAATGTATTTAAACAGTTCATCATATACAATGACCAATCAATACACAATTTCAATGTATTATTCCAACCGTCATATTCAATGACATATTCCAAGTGATTAGTTTTAGTTTTCCCTAATCAACATATAATGTCTACAACAATCAAGACTATTCTCCACCGATAGCTCAAAGCAATTACCTCTAAACAGATAATAAATTTATCAAACAGATAAATTATCAACATTTTCATAAGTGAGTGTTTAACTACATTTCTCAATTTCATGACTTTCAACTCAATTTCGCATTTTCCCAAATTAATTATTCAAATTAATTATTCAACATAATTAGGGCATTTTCCCCCTTTTTCAAATATCAACCCTAAGGTTCAATTTTATCAATTTAACAACAATTCTTCCATTTTCCAAGGTCTCACATACACATAGGTTTAACATGTGAAAACCCCCTTTTTATAACCTCATATCAAACCCAAACTTTTCCAAAATTACCAAACAATACCATCTAATCAAAATGACTAAAATTTATATCAAAACTCATAAGATGGAGTAGGGTATCCCTACCTCGAAGTTAGAAGCCCAAAGGAGTAGATGAAGAAAACTCAAAGTGCTCTAAATCCGCGATTTTTTAGATTAAAGTAAAGTCCAGGCCACCCTCTATCTTTCTTACAAAGAGATTAGGCTAGAAACACTCTAGGAGTGAGCAGCCGGATCTAGGGTTTGTGTAAAGAAGGTGATGAAAAAGTGAAGTGGAACCCGCTACTGCTAACTGATATATTCGAGGCTCGCTTGAGCGAAGGTGTAGTCTGATTTAAAATGTTGTTTTTAATCTGACTACCAAATTTGTAATGATTTGAAAACCTTTCTGACTATTTTTTCTGGATATATTTTTATTTGCGAAAAAGATAGATACAGAAGGGCACATCTTTCCTGGTCATGCAGCTAATTCAAGCCACATATGTTTTTTGTTTTTTATTTTATTTTTTTTATTGTGAAGGGTTCAAGGAAGGGATGAATGCATGTTGTGGAACAGGACCGTTTAGGGGTTTATTCTCATGTGGAGGAACAAAGAAGGTGACAGATTACTAATTATGTGACAATACAGATGATTGTGTATTGTTGGATTCTTTTCATCCAACAGAGAGGATCCATGAGCAATTTGCAAAGGCTCTCTGGGATGGACCCCTTGACTTTGTTGGACCATATAATCTTCAACTACTCTTCTTCTCCAACAAGCTCACCATTATTGCTGACTTGGTTGATGATCCTGAATCAGATACTCAGCATATTTACTAATACATAATTAGCAAAATGTAACCCCCAATGCCAGAGAGAATGTTACCATTTTGAACTTGTTTAAATAAAATATATCTATGGTCAAATTTGTGTTTTGTGTTGGTTTGGTTCTTGAAGGTTTAACTTTGTCAATTTATTAGTCTTAAAAAAGTTTTAGGTTGAGTCAAATTGATTCAATTTCAAACAGTGCATTAAAATTGTTAATGAAATGGTACTAGAGCATTTTGTTACTAATTTTAACACCTTGTTTGAAATTGGGTCGATTTGACTCAAATTAAAAATTTATGATATAAATTGACAAAATTGTAACTTGAAGGATCAAAATGACACTTAACATATACCTTAAGGACTATATGTGTATTATAAACCTTTTGTATTATTATGGAAATGTTGTTTGCGACCTATGTGTCATGGGTTCCAAACACAAGTTTGTATAATGTGTGAGATAAGATTGCATACATTTAATCCTTCTCAGACCTTGTTGGGCTGTCATTTTAAGCCATGCTTGATTGTGTAATAAATGAATGTATGAGTTCATGATACACATATTGGTAGTCAGCTTATCTACAGAAAATGCCTTATTTCATGGGTGTTTATGTTTCAAAGGGAAAGAAAAATCATAAACACCACTAATGCATTCTCAAACATAGCTGTGGATCCAGGGTAGTTGGCTCTATGATATAACTCCTTATGTTGGTAATGTTGTTTTGTTTAACAAATCAGATTCTTATTTTTGCCACCAATATATATATATATATATATATATTAGCACTCTTTTGTAGCAAATTAAACACGATTTTCACATGTTAAGATTTCAATGACTCACTCACTGCATTGTATTTAGCTAAAGCATAATGATGAACCATGTTTGTCAATGAATTACATTTACTGCGTAACTCTTGTGAATGGGATTGAAGTAATATTTTCTCGTATGATGTGTTCTAAATATTTAAAATTACTTATCACATGTTAAGGGATCAGTGGATAAACATAATTTCAAAGAGAGTTGAGGATAGAATAATTCTTCTAAAAATGCAGAGAGAGAGACATGCACACTTGAATTGCAAATAAGCCATATGGTAAGTGAGGTAAGTCATACTATTGATACAAAGCTATGAAGGCAATAATATTATTTAGTACTAATTACTGAGAAGAATCTAACAAGCTTTCATATGAATATGCTACGCTACCACATTTTAGTGGCTATTTAACATAACAAAAAAATAAAAATAAAAATAAAATACATTGACTAGACAATTTTAGTGGCTATTTACCATGGACTGAAAAAAACCAATAAAAAGGGAAGGAGATTCACCCTCTCTCACTTGAATGAATAAATTTATTTTTCGATGAATGAGTCTCGTAGTATGTGATGTGGAATTCACTTTGTGAGTAATTTAGGCAAAAACTTTGTTGGTGTTATAAGTTTTTTATTTTTTATTTTTTTTAGGGTAATTACATACCAATGGAATTTCTTTTTAAAAAATATAATGAAAACTCTATAATTTTTATTATTAATATTTATAATTTTTTTTACTGATTTGTAATTATTTTTTCAATGGTCAATTGATTTGATATATGTATATATTTTTTTGAGTTTAGATATGAACACTTTCTTAATTATCGTTAAATATAATTTTATTTTTTAATTTTAAAATTATACATTTGCATTACTCTTCTATTGAGGGCCGAAAATAATCTTTTACCCTCTAATCCGGAGGAGGAATTTGAGTGCTACTAAATGTACCTACCTTTCTATTTTGGACCCTACCACTTCTTTGACCTCCTACTTTCTAAAAGTGTTATCTCCCTATATTTCAGGTAATTCTATTTTCACACACCTATTTATTTCTATGTACACACTTAATGAAATATAATTTTAATGACAATTATAACCGAAAATAAAATAACCATAATGGATATCAAAACATAACCTTAATATTAAATCAAAGTTTTCTCTGTACATATATTTTAAAAATAAAAAATCTCAGAGCACATCTTTTGATTAAAAAAAAAACACTAAACCCTAGTTTCTTAATTGTTTCTCACTTCTTCCATTGTTTCTCACTTACTCTATTGTTCATTGCTTGCTACACACTCTATTGCCTTTTATTGCTTACAAAGCAATACTCTCATAGCAACATTCTCTACGTTCATACTTCATTGGTTATATCGTTTTCTCATTAGAATCCACCGTCATTATTTTTGTGATAAAAGAGTTGCAAACCAATGGAAGTTCACATTCAAGTAAAAATATGTTTGGTTACGACAAATACAGTGATAAAAAAGTGAGTTTTTTTTGTACCAAAGTTTTTATTTTTATTTTTTTTCATTTGCAATTTTTCATTAGGAGAAGGTGTAATTGAATGGTGGTGGTGGTTAAGAGGGCTTCTTGTTCTTGACAATAATGGTTGGGTTTGTATTGATGAGTGTCAGGTGTTTGATGTTTGAGAAAGTTTGTGATTGTTTTGGTTTGGTGGGTTTGCTTCAATTTATACACACAATGATGTCCATGTCCAATCCCAGTTCGGTAGGAATTGTAATTTTTGTACAAATGGGCAACTATCTTTCTAGGATGATAAGGCCTCGTTTGGATATTTAGTTAAAAAATTAAAAATGCAATATAGGTGGAGGGTCTTTAATAGAGTCTTCAATGGAGGGTTTTCACTGTGTCTTCAATGAGAGTGAAACCGAAAATGGGTGTGTGGAAAATGGGTTTGGAGTTTTGAACATAAATGTGGAAGAGGGGTTTAGGTGGTGTATGTACAAAGATATGAGTTAAGGATATAATTAGAATATTTGACATGTGTATTGAGAACAATAATATATAACCAAATTGATAAGTGCGTGTATTGAGAAATGATGTACAAGATAAATAAGTGTGGAATTAGAATTACCCTTATATTTCTTTAGACCCAAGTGTATTTCCAACTTTGCCCATTTTCTATGCACCCTCACCCTTTTCCTTTCTTCTTCCGGTAGCCCTCATTTCCTACCATTTTCCCATTATGAGATGGGGACAAAATTGAAATTTGATGTTAAGACAAAATTATAATAAAATAAAATAAAATAATGGGGGTCCAAAGTAAAAATGTAGGGACAGTTAGCACTACTCAAGAATTAATCTTACTCTTTTGTATTACATACCTCCCCATGGGACATAATAATCTTACAAATAAGGGAATTCATAATAATCTTACAAATAAGGGAATTCATAGTCCAGTTGGACTATTAGTCCGACCTACATTTTTTGAACCAAACAACGGACTACTTTATATATTGAATATGGAGTCTTATCCTACCTTCCAATCCCCCAAAACATACCAGGCCTTCAATATTTCAATTTCAAAATAAAATCACTTTCCTTCATTCAAATGTTGTTTTTGTAATTTTTTGTAATTATTTTATTAATAAAAATGTATAATTTAAATTTTGACCAAAAAAAAATAGAGCATTGTTATTCAAGATAAAAAAATTACTCAATTTTCAAACTCAGTGATATGGCAATCACTAAGGATATTAAAGGTAACATTTTTTCTCATATTAACACTCTTATATCTTTTCTAATCATTAATCAATCATATCACTTACATATTATTGGATCTAAAAAATGGATAATAGATATGCTGAGCTCCCTAAACACATATATATCACAGTTGTGACTTGTCATTATCGTGAAAGAAATTTGAAGTAATATTGAGAACTATGTGAAATTTATGATGAAACTTAAAGGTAGTAAACTGTAAAGGACAAGTACAATTATCAGTGACAAAGCAACAACTTGGATATTGACGTGCAAATGATGGAATAATAAAGAAGCTAAAGAGATTAAAAGAAGCGACATATACTAGAGCAAAATGTTGAACCTACTAATAAAATTGATGTACCAATAATAAGATGTTTGAAACAATATAAATACCGTATGCACAAGAAGTAAATGTTTTGTTGGCAATATCAAATGATATCTTGGTATGTTGTGATGTTTGTTGTTAATATTTTGATAATATCAAGGATGTAATGTTGTATTGGTCAATGACTTGATCTATCAATATAGAATCGACAATTTGAGAGCACCGGTATAACTATCTTTCCATTTTCCATATGTATTGGATAATTGTTTTTTTGAAAATCAAATATATTTTGGATGTATTAAAACAGATATACACATATTTACTACATATTATAATTCCTTGTATAAGAAAAAAGCTGGACTCCCAGATGCATAATTCTCACTCTTTAGTTGATTTACTTTGATTTATCAAGATGAATGTGCACCAATCTTACATTTTTTGGTAGCTTTATATCCACCTCCAGCTTACACGCCAGCAGTGCAGACAATTCCAGTGGATAATGATATTAATAACACTACAGTAAGTCCAACACTTTTGAGTTATTTATGCTTCATAAGTTTCATTTTTTTATTTAATGCTTTTCTATCTTGCAGGTTTTTACTGCTAGGTTTGTCAGGCTTGTGGAATTTCTATTTGAATCGTTGGAAAAATTTAAAACGATAATTTGAAAATATGAAAGATGTCTTGATTTATGTTCTGTCCCAACAAAACATTTTTTTTCGCTTTACTCTCTCTCTCTCTAGAATGGGGATGGATATATATTTTCTGTTTAATTTGACCATATGGTAATTGAGTTCAGTTGGTGACTTTATGGTCTCTTGTCCATTTTTCCCATGATATCTTGCTTTGTTGTATAAACTTTTCGTACTCCCACTTATTTGACCTCCATATATATTGTCTTATCGTATTGCTTTATATTTCTTTGTGCAGAGCATCTGCTGAAGAAGCAATCCAAAGGATGAAGGGAGCAATGATCGGTCAACAAGCTGTCCACCTTTCTTGGGGCAGGAGCCCAACAGCTAAACAGGTGAATCTTCTTTTTAGAATGCTCTAGCATAGTATATTGACATGGCAGTAATGGAGGAAGGAACTAGATATCGTTCTAGTAGGCGTGATTCATTGAATTCACAAGAACAATCTTGAATCGACAAGGAAAATAAAAGAGAATCTAAAAATAATATTGATTGAATGTATTTATAATAACCTAAACCTAATACATGTAGAATAAGTAATTCTAAAATAAACTAAGAAATTTTAAATTATTACAAAATAGGAAATCTAAGAGAATAATCCTAGTCAAAATTAAATTCCAAAATAATAAAAATATAAAAAATTTGAAACTCTTGTTTTACATCATTCTCTCCCTTTAAAAAAAAAAAACCTTGCCCTTGAGTTACTATGGATCGAGACAACTTCATACGTTTGAGCATGTCTACATCTATCTTATAGTTAAGGATAATTTTTTCACATACTTGACAGTGAAAAAGTGTAACTCCTCTTGGGATGTGTTAGTATATTATTATATGTTAGTGTTTAGCTTTAATAATTAGTGTCCCCTTGCTTTATGCTTTCGGTGCCTCAATTGACATCCTATGTTGTCTTCTCCTCTCTATAAAGAGAGTGTACATCTCTTTGTAAATATACACAGAAATACAGAGTTATTCATTTGCTCTCTCTCCCTCTCTTTATCAAACTATTGTTACATGGTATTAGAGCTAGGTTAACAACCTAGTAATTCCGCTTCACCGGCGGGTGGTAGCCTCGCCTTAGCCGCTCGCCGGACCTCTATACATACCTTCACTCCGTTGCCACAAACCCACCAGTTGGCAACCATCAGCAGACCAACACACAACACACACACACAGACTAACATCCCTATCATGAAGGCAAATAAAGGAATTTTGCAACGTTTGAGTGCTGCAACTAAGGCTCCATATTGGCCTGTGGGTGTTGATGGTAAATCACCCGCCAACCAAGATTCATGTTCCAATTCTACCTCATCATTCAACAAAGAGTGATGAGTCATTGAGTAGACCACAACAGCTAAATCAACAAGGCCGTATTCTTGAGGCGGCTATTGAAGCAGCAGCAAATGCTTTAGCTCTCTTGACATCGTCTGTGAAAACTCCTCGTCAGCTTTCTCTTCTCCGGTGCTGGAATCGTCTCAAGAGTCAGAGCCAACGCGCAACCACGCGCCGCCCATGGCGCGGGCTCCTCAGCAGCCCTCCGTCGTTGCTCATTATCGCTTGCTGAAGCCGCTCCTGCAGCGCCGCAGCAGTGGCCTCATGCGCCCTTGCCCGAGTCTGCCACGCCTGCGCCTCCGCGAAGATCTCTCGGCAGATCCCTTCCAACCTCTCTGAGCCCAGCCGATGCTAGTGGCCTAGCATCATCTGCGACTCCGGCCACGTCACTAAGTTCCCCGTCCCCGGCATGGGACTCTCCGGCCAAGTCCCACCCAAAGCCATTGACAACCAGATCCGGTTCCAAACACACTCTCTCTCTATTTTCAAACTCATTTTACTTTTCTTCTTTTATTTCTTTATTTTTTCTTTTCACCCCTTTCACATCACCAACCCCATTGTGTCTCTCTCCTATCACCCGCAGATACACACACACTTGCACTATACCAACCCATCATAATATATTATCATCCGCTATCCTAGCCCACAGGTGACAGGTTCCGAACCCCCCACTGCTTTTATTTTATTTTTACCATACTCATCATCACCATACTTATCAGAAATTAATTAACCCCTTTCTTGGCTCATCATCAAGTCCAGAGAGCTTCCCATGAACAGTGGTTCGTTCCAGCACACTTGGCTCATCATCAACGACGGTCTCCACTGTCTCGAGCTCTCCATTTTGGACAGCACTAAAGAAACTATTGTCATGGGATTCTCTGCAACTCAATCCCTGACCCATACACGTGCCTGCATGAACGTGCGCTCCACCTCTGCAGCATGTGCGCTCCAACCTTTGGTTTACGTGGATATGGGTTCTCCTCAATAAATTATTCTTCTTTCCCATAAATTCCACCATACTTTTTCAGGGGACAAAGCATATATATATTTTATTATTATAATATATTACCCACATTATTTCCTTTTTCACCCCCACATCATTATTATTTTCAACCCACGGCTTCAGGACCCGCAGTCTGATCCCACTACCCCTAACTTTATTTATTTACTCTGTGTTGAGCCGTTCTGCTCCACTTTATCAATCCCTTTGTTTCAACTTCAAATAGGTTTCTATCTTCACACCTATTTGAGTTTGAGGGGGGGTTATACATATATCATGGTGAGCATGGTTACACACCATGCGAACCACCCAAGCTGGTGAGCATAGTTATATACCATGGGAACCACCCAAACCACCCTATGGCGCATTCCCTAAGTCGCCTCCTCAGTGCACCACCAATAGCTTCTACAACGGTCAGACATGACCCCGTAAACTGTCTTGACATTGATTCCGGTTAGCTTCTACATCGGTCCGGCATGACCTCGTAAATTGTCCAGACATTATTTGCTACAACGGTCTGACACGACCATACAGTGTCTTCTCCAGCGGTGTGACACGACCATACCGTGTCTTCAACAACGATTTGATACAACCATACAGTGTCTCCTATCCTATTTTATTTTATTTATCAGTTTACTTTCCTGTTTTGTTACTCTCTCCAAACTCAAGTTGGTTAGTACCTATCCTATACAGGCTTAAATCTTATCGCTCTGATACCATGTAAGAAATAATGTATAGAGAAAGAGAGAGAATAAATTGTATGTATTATTATTGATTTGGCATCCTATGTTGTCTTCTCCTCTCTATAAAGAGAGTGTACATCTCTTTGTAAATATACACAGAAATACAGAGTTATTCATTTGCTCTCTCTCCCTCTCTTTATCAAACTATTGTAACAGGATGATTGTTTCATCAAGTGCAGTTGCTGAATTGCCTTGCGAACCTCTGCCGAATCCGTCTCAAGACTCAAATCTCAACAAATACCTGATGATAACAGTTTTAGTTTTTAGATTCCTTCCTTCATTAATTGTTTCATCAAGTGCAGTTGTTGATTGTTTCATTAATTTTTTACTGCCCTTTGCCTTTCCTTCCATCAAAAAGAGAAGAGATGATCAATGTGCCATCTTCTATTGATGTGATCATGATCTTCCTGAAATTCTTAATTGGGTATCAGTTGTGGAACCACCAGGATTCTTCATGGTCACCCTTCCTTGACGCAACACCTTTTATGTTTGTTAGTTTTTGAAAAAAAAAACTTGAACCTTCATTTATCATCCTTTTATGTAAAGGACCTAATATTAATAACTTCTGCTTCAGTATCTAACCAGTACTCTCTACAAAATTGTTGCCGAAATTGTGGCACCAAGACCAAGAAACCTCTCCCAATTTCAGATGACCAGATAACTTCTTAGGAAAGCAAATCTCAGATTTCATGTGGAATTACAGTTGGTGAATCCTGGAATCGTATTGAAAGTGGACATGGAAATAAAGTTTGTGAACATGTTAATTCAGGATTTCTACTTTACTTTTACGCTGTGTATGGATTATGGATTTGAGGATGGATTTGCGAAAGAAAAGGAAAAGGAAAAGTTGAGGGAAATATTAATGAAATATAAGCTCTCTCTCTCTCTCTTTTTTCTTTTTTTTCTTTTCTCTCAGCATATAAATGATCCAAACACAGACTTATGCAAGCATGTGATTTTGGGGCTAGAAGGAGAAAGTGTTTGCCTTTCTGTGTATGTACTGGTTAATTTTCTTTGCCTTGTGATGGTGCTTGAAGCATTGACATGATATCCGCCAAGTTTGCCACTTCATCCCTGCTTTGTACAGTTGATGATGCTTTATGTAGGCTTCTGTGAAAACCGAATGATCTCAAAGGGAGTTTTATGCTAAGGGAAAGTGATCTATGTAAATAGAACTTGCAATTTTGCAGACAAGTTGTTGTATATGAAGCCTGACGTACTATTTTCTTTCTTGCATTCTTATGTGTTCTTACATAGCTTCAAGTTTGATAGTTAACCTCAGTGTTTTGAGTTATTTCTGCCTGTAGCCTGATGGACATCTATTCTAGGTTTTATGACTATGTTTTGAGTTATTTCTGAAGCTCCAGCTGGAATGAGGAATTTCCGCTCGGTGTGGTGATTCCTTGTAGGCTGGCTGTGAGGGAGGCATGATAAAAATTTCAGCTCTGGTGGGAAGGATGAAGAGTGAGGATAATCCTTGCTCTTGTTTCTCTCTCCCCCTTTCTCATAATTACCTAATCGCCAATTTTTTTGTTGATAAATCAGAGAAAAACCTAATCTACATTAGCTATCTGATCATTTTTAATCTCATGACTTGGATGGAGGAAGATGAACTCTTCATTAGTACACAGGATTTTTTATGAATCCCTGAAGCCATTGGTTCTGAACATGTATTATGTTGTCACTACTGACTGAATATCTTGATGGCCATTTCAGGTTGAAGGTTCTCAAGAAATGGCCTCCATGGCAGGTGCTGTCCCGGCTGTGGAACAAAGGGAGGAATATGATCCTTTGGCTACGCCAGATGTTGACAAGTAAAACTCCTCTCCTTCCTCCCTAGACTGACATATTTAGCTGCTATATTGTTTGGTCCAACTTATAGAGCTGCTTATATCTTTTATTTTTTATTTTTTGGAAATCTGTGCCAGTGTGTTTGGTGCAATTTCTTACAATTTATAAGGGAAAAAAAGAAGAAGCTTAAATAAGCAGAAAAAAGAAAAAAGAAAAAAGAACTGATTATTGGGAAGCAAGGGGAGAGGTGCTTTTAGTTTCTGCTTTTTGATTATCAATTTTCAATTTGCTAGAAGTTGCACCAAATAATTGATGTCTTGACCAACCACTGATAATAATCAATATTTGTTTGTAGGTTGAATGCTGCTTACCTTGCCGTCCATGGAAGTGCCATTTTTGGCCGGCCCATGCGGCAGAGAACCTCATCACTCTCACAGAAAGAATAGGCTCCTATGGAGCACCTATTTTATTTGTCGGTCTCTAATTGGTTTTTGGTGTGCTAATGTGATGGAAAGAAAGACAATCATTAGCAAGAAAACTGCTTCCAGAGGGGAATCCTGGTAAATTCTGCTTTTGTACATGATGTTCTGCCTCAAAAGGGATTTCCTCGTTTGGTTGCAGCAGTCAATAAAAACATAGGAAAGCAGATAAATTTTATGGCATAAATTTTGAAGTCATTTCTAGATTGTTGTGACATGACATTTTGATTTGTAGTATAAATAGAAGAGAATGATATGTTGCTTTCTTTCAAGTAGACTGAGTTGGGCCGTAGAATTCCTAGCTTCGTTATATATTTCTTTTATGTTGTAATGGTTAGATCGTAGTGTGTTGGGGGGGTGTTTGTTGCTGGAACTATGATCTGTAATATTATGCTGCATGTATGTCATTTCATTCCATTGGGAAACTGACACTAGTGGGTTGGGTCAAGTATTTGAGTGAATTTTATTTTCAGTTAAGGAAAATAAATAGTAAAATCGATTAACAAAGTCATTTTTTAAAAATTTTATAGATTTAATCTCAACCAACTAATACCATCACATTACTTCTCAATTAAACACATTTTATCTTATATCTCTGGCTTAATACTACCACATTTTTAATCTTTTCACTCAATCTAACTATATTCATAATTTTATCTAACATAATTGGCCAAACAAACATAGCCTTACAGAAAAACTAGACAGCTGCATCACATCACTTGCATCCAAAGAAAAAACCGAAGCGTTTTGCTTTCTGTTGAGGTCAATTATAACTTTGCTTGATTTTCCTGAGTTTGACGATGGCCAGTTGAGCGGTTCTCCCTCTCTCATGCGTGCACACAGATTTTCCGATGAACAGTTTTACCAGGTCCCATATGTTTGATTACAAAAATACCTGAAATTAGGAAGCTAATTTGGAGACTGCAGGGAAGAGCACTAAATAAAAAATTTAAATTTTAAAAAATGCGTATGTAAGAAGAAATACACAAAGCTATATCAGAGTAAAACCACGTCGGGATTCATCCATTTCCAATACATTTTTGTCTCCGTGTAAATCCTCTTTCTTGCACCCGGAAAAGTTTTTTATATCTTGTGCCTTACCCACACTTTATATCCCGCATATACTTTGCTATCAAGATATTGCTATTTGGACCACTGAACCGATTGATCATCTCAAATCCCAATTCACATAAGAAGAAAGTTGATAATCCTCAAAATACAAAAAGTACCAACAACTATATCGATCCAACTGTTGAATTTAAAATAAAGTCTAAAAACATCAATGAATGACTATAGCCATCGAGGAAAGGAACATACAAAAATAATTAGCCAAATACCATTCCCCTTCATAGTAATAACATACATTCCAGTGTAATATCTAAAAATTGTAGGAGCATACAAAAATCAGGCATCGCACTTCCTTACAAAAATAGAACGTATTTTTTCTTGCAGGTCCAAATAATTTATTCTGAGATGAAGGGAGACAAGAAAAAGTTTACTTTCAGAGGTAATCTTGCCTACGTCAGTGAGTATGTTGAAGAACTTGAAGGCCCTGCTATAGTGGAGTTGCAAATCCTGTCACCACACAAAAGAAAAACCACATCATGTTGACAAACAATCCTCATACCAAATACGAGCCCTTAAAAAATTCAGATGATAAACAAGAACATGACAATGAAACAGGTTATCATCCAGATATGTCACAGAACTTATACAAATCCTTTTAAATGCGTCTCAAAAAATTTCAAAGATTTCAATCTCCAAGAGTTACAGCACCATGTTCACAATTACAGGCCATAAGTTAACAATATGCATCCCCTGATCTGATGTTATACCTGTCACCCAAAAAAAAAATTCCCTGGTCTGACACATCTCCTGTAACAAACAGAAGACATGCAGCTCAACCCAGCAAAAATAAAGAGTCCAAAGACTATCCAAAAATAAATGTTCTAAAAACTGATCTTCTTCCACATTATTATCAGGTTCTCTCAAATATCTCCCATCTTTGCACCCACTGCCTTCTATAATGTCTTGTTCCTCATCCATAGAAAACGCACCAAATTTCTAACATGACTATATCCTCAAAAGATGCAATCAACTTGCCAATCAATCACAAGATGCCCTTATAAGATGATCTAAAAGTTAGGCACTCTTTGGCATCCTCTATTTATTTATTTTTTATCTTTTTAGAGTCATATCACCTCTCTACTTTTTTGCATATCTTTTCATAAAAAGTCAAAAAGTATACTTATTCAAATCATCCCAAACACCCAATTAATTTAGAGATTATACCATTGGACAAAAGGAACTAGTGCTCAATCAGGATCAGTCATTTTCTGAGGGTGTGTGTGGTGGTATTAATGGAGTAATTTCAAGGGAAGATTACTATATGTTTAAAGAGACTAAACAACAACATATAGAGAACACAACACCATACTGTTGGATCTTTAACAGAACCAAACTAGATAATGATTCATAGATAATTGCAAATATATATGACTCTTCATTGGAAAATGTTCTCACATCGTGTATCCAATTTCTAGAAAAAACTAAAGTTGTGCAGCCTATTATCGGCTGTTGTAAACTCAATGCAGAACTCAGGTGCATCAATACAGAAGTACACTAAAAAAAATCCAGAGAAAGCACAACTATATCTTACAAATTCATATGATCATAAAACTTAAATTTGATGCCCCATTCAGCTTAACGAAGAGACAACAACTAAATGTGAAAAACCAATGACCATACTGAATGACTAATTCCATTGTGCAAAACAATCTGCTCCAGTTATCTGATCTGGATGCTTTTCAAAAAGATAGGGTGTCAACATACATCTCAGCCATCACATAGTTGTTTCAACCCTTGGATAACCCTTTTTTAACAAGATGCAGGAGCCCATTACCAATAAACCAAGCTCAATTTATGGAGAAGCCTCTGATAGGTTATAGAAGATATGATCAATTTGTTCTTGCAACATCCTTAAATGATCAGACTATTATTGAACTGGCCCAGGGTATTGGTTTGATAGGTTAGGCCGGTGCTAATTACATTGCTTGAAAAGAAAGCAGATTCACATACATGGATAACATTCAGTTCAAGAATGTTCAAGTTTTACATGCCTTTGTTTCTTCTAATCAAATCACAAAAGCTCTGCAGTGTTGCCACAACAATATTCAAATAAATATCATCATCAAGTTACAACATTTTGTGGTCCCACAAATTGGGCATCAGATGAATACTGATGCAACATGTCTATGGCATATATAATCCTTCATTAAGTTAAGAAATTACAATAATTTTAATAGAAAATTAAAATTACCATTGAAATCTAACCACAAACTATACATATATATATATATATATACATATAACAAATGCATACCCTTACATAACCCACCAAAAAATACAATGTCCTTTTGAGGTTCTATCTTGAGTTTCTTTGAACGATAAACATGAAGTTCAAATAGAAGCGAATGCAATTTGGTGCCGTTCCATCCAGTTTCATCATTGTGAACAAGTGAAAAACCATTTACAACAAGAGATTATTCATAAAACCCCAGTTTCTAAAAACAAATGGCAACACAAATAGTATGACAAACGACCATAAACATTCTTCAATATGAATTGAACAACTCTGAGAAATAAACAAAATGGGAAAGATTTTTGGTAATTAATTAGTACCTTCAGAGAGACAACCCCATTGGCCAACCTTTGAAGACAACATAGAATTGAGCAAGGAAGAAGCAGTAGCAGAGTGAAGAGGCATCAATGACTCTCCACAACCCAACTCCACTGGCAACCTACATTGACCATTGACAACCCCAAATCTCAGATCAGTTACATAATTACCAAAAACAACCACCCCATTCACACATACATTTTTCAGAGAGTTACACAAGTGTGTACCTACCTGGTGGAGAAGAAGGAATGGTGGTGACGAGAGACGCGAGCAGAATTTGAGGAGGGTGCGAGTCCACCGAGGTTAGATGGTACTGGAGGTGATTGGGTTCGACTTTTGCAACTCAGGAAGGCTTTAGCGGACGATGTTGATCTCTGAAGTAGCCTTCTTGCAGGATTGCTCGCCATTTTTGTCCCTCGCTTGCTTAACTCTCCTCTCCTCTCCTCGGTTCTTTTTCTTTTTCAGGCAACACCCAGCCAGATGTCTAAAACCCTAGCTCAATATAAGGTTCAATTTCCTTTAGCACATCATTGTTTATAGCATTCACCTAAATAATATCAAGCATCACTACACATATGATGTTTCTTGTCCCTAGTACCAAAATCAAGTAGATATTTAAACCTCTTCAATAAAAACTGAATTTTTTAATAAATTTAAATTATAAATATATTCTTTAAGATTTGTTTAAAATACTAATTGTCTTTTATAATTCTAAAAATTACATCTACCCCTTGAACTATCATATTTCATAATAAATGGTCACTTTTATTAATAAATTATCAAGTTAATTAACATTCTTTAATAATATTAGAAATATATTTCAATTAATAATTTAAATAATTTTATTATTGTATAAGAGAATAGTTAAGAACCTTATTTTTCAATTAATCCTCTTAAATAAAAAATTCTAACAAAAAAACATTTATAATTTTTCAAACCACAAAGCCTAATCCATATTTTAAGCAAAATCTCAAGAGATGCATTTATAATTTATCATTTTTAATAACTTTATAACTAAAACATGAGATAAAAAAAATTAAAATATTTATAAATAATTTTTCAACTTTAAACCACAAATAAATAAATGAGAATAAATCTTTTAATTTTTTTGTATGAGTTGAAATTTTTTTTACTTCTTAGCTAAAATCTAAAATCTTTGGAACTGAAACAGACCATAAACATTGCTAACTAGTGCGTATCCCACTCTTTTCCAAGAAAAGAACACAGAACAAGAATGCAAATTAGTAAAATGACAAAAATCAAAAATCAAAAAATCAAAAGCTTTCCTCAAAATCTTTATTTATTTATTTTTTTGATCTATTTATTTATTTGATCAGCAGAATAAATAAATAAATTCTTTGGAAGGTAGAGGTCTGATAAGCCAGCCAAAATATACACCTAAATAGATTCCCTTTGAATCTGTTCCTGCTTCACTACCAGAATGCTCGAGTACATGAGGTAACACTGATGTGCATCTTGGAATGCCCAAGAGGCAAATTGTAACATCCTCATCCTGAATCATAACAATATTGTCTGCTTGGACTACACCCTCATGGCTTTGAGGGACGTAAACCTAACCAAGCCCAAGCGTGGGACGGGATGTTGTACAAGTAGTCAGCCATGACTTGAGAAATGCATGCACCAGATATTCAGGAATACAAACTTACTTTTTAAAATCCAACCAAAAGGAATTCAACATTTTTAAAAGTCAATAATGTATCTCAGAGATGAGACTTCTGAACTCAGTCTACTTGAAAGAAAGCAACATATCATTCTCTATTTATACTACAAATCAAAATGTCATGTCACAACAATCTAGAAATGACTTCAAAATATATGCCATAGAATTTATCTGCTTTCCTATGTTTTTGTTGACTGCTGCAACCAGAAGAGGAAAACCCTTTTGAGGCAGAACATGCACAAAAGCAGAATTTACCAGGATTCCCCTCTGGAACTGCAGTTTTCTTGCTAATGATTGTCTTTCTTTCCGTCACATTAGCACATCAAAAACCAATTAGAGACCGACAAATAAAATAGGTGCTTCCATAGGAGCCTGCTTGCTGTGAGAGTGATGAGGTTCTCTGCCACATGGGCCGGCCCAAAATGGCACTTCCATGAACGGCAAGGCAAGGTAAGCAGCATTCAACCTACAAACAAATATTGATTATTATCAGTGGTTGGTCAAGAAATCAATTATTTGGTGCAACTTCTAGCAAACTGAAAACTGATAATCAAAAAGCAGAAACTAAAAGCACCTCTCCCCTTGCTTCCCAATAATCAGCTCTTTTTTTCTTTTTCTTTTTTTCTGCTTATGTAAGCTATTTTTTTGTCTCATAAATTGTAATAAATTACAACAAACACACTGGCACAGATTTTCAAAAAAATAAAAAATAAAAGATATAAGCAGCTCTACAAGTTGGACCGAACAGTATAGCAGGCTAGCAGCTAAATATGTCAGTCTAGGGAGGAAGGAGAGGAGTTTTACTTGTCAACATCTGGCGTAGCCAAAGGATCATATTCCTCCCTTTGTTCCACAGCCGGGACAGCACCTGCCATGGAGGCCATTTCTTGAGAACCTTCAACCTGAAATGGCCATAAAGATATTCAGTCAATAGTGACAACAAAATACTGTAAGAATCCTGAAAGCTTTTCTGTATATTGAATTGCAGCAATTTACAAAGAATTCATCAGTTTATATAGTCCTAAATCTATGATTCAAAAAGGAAATACAAACTAATTCCTTTTTACACAATCATGCTATATATACAATATATTCTCACACCCCCGCTCAAACTCAAGGTGTTTTAGCAGAATACACTGAGAGTTTGCTAAGAAGAAACTGAAACTAAGCGGTAGTGTGAGGTTTGGTGAAGAAGTCTGCAAGTTGCAAAGCCGAAGAAACGAAAGGAAGCGAGATGAAGCCAGACTGCAGATGCTGTCGGACAAAGTGACAATCATTTTCAATGTGTTTCGTCCATTCATGGAAGACAGTATTATGGGCAATCTGAATAGCACTGCGGTTGTCACAATAGAGAGAGGTCGGAGAAGACTGAGGTACACCCAAATCAAAGAGAAAACAACGAAGCCAAACAAGCTTGGCAATAGCATGAGCCATAGCACGGTACTCAGCTTCGGCAGTAGAGCGAGCAACTATAGTTTGTTTCTTGCTTTTCCAAAAGATCAAGGAATCACCAAAAAACATACAGGAACCAGAGGTGGACTTGCGATCATTAACTTCACCAGTCTAATCAGAATCAGCATAGGCCATCAAGTCTAAAGAGGAAGTAGAGGACAACAGTAAGCCCTGAAAGATGGTACCCCGGAGATAGCAAAAAATGCAAACCAAAGCAGCCCAATGGGTAGAGCGAGGAGCAGAAATGAACTGACTAACCACATGAACAACATAAGCAAGATCAGGGCGAGTGACAGTCTAATAAACTAAACAACCCACAAGCTCGCAATAAAAAATGGAATCATCCAGAGGGACACCATCAGTAGAGTTGAGCTTCACATTAAGCTCAATAGGGGTATCAGAAACCTTAGTATCAGTAAGACCGGCACGATAAATAACCTCATTAGCATACTTGGCCTTAGACAAAAAATAGCCCTTTGGAAAAGAGGTAACCTCAATACCAAAAAAATACCGCAATAGACTCAAATCCTTTATTTCGAAAGTGCGGAAGAGATGTTGCTTGACCTCAGAGATAGCAAAAGAGTCAGAGCCAATGATGATTACATTATCCACATAGAGTAAGAGAGTAACAAAACCAGCCGAAGTATGTCTCAGAAACAAAGTAGAGTCGGAAGCCGAAGGATGAAACCCAAGCTCGGTAACAGCAGTCTAAAGTGATCATACCAAGCACGAAGAGATTGCTTCAAACCACATTGAGCACGCCGAAGATGACAAACTTGCCCAGAGGAGTGGAGAAGGCCAGGGGGAGGATGCATGTAGACCTCCTCAGTGAGATAACTGTTAAGAAAAACATTCCTAACGTCCATCTGATAGAGAGGCCAATGTCGAACAGCAACAACAGAAATCAAGGTATGAACAGTAGTCATCTTGGCAACAGGGACAAATGTCTTCTCATAATCAATACCATACTCCTGCAAGAAACCCTTAGCAACCAAGTGAGGTTTGTATCGCTTGAGAGAACCATCAAAATGAGTCTTGATTTTATAAACCCATTTGCAACCAACAAGATTCTTGCCAACAAGCAAAGGAATCAACTCCCAAGTGTTAGTCTTCTACAAGGCAAACAACTCATCCTCCATAGCTTGAACCCAATTAGAATCCTGACAGGCCTCCGTATAAGACTGAGGTTCTAAAAAAGAATGAATAACAGACAAAAAAGTATGATAGGAAGCAGAAAACATGTATTAGACCAACCCAACCTGTTTGGAGGACGACGCTCACGAGTAAGATATCAGTGTGCAGTAGGATCAGAGTCGTCAGAAGTAGGAGGATTAGCAGCAGGGGTAGAGACAATTGGTGGAGGAGGAGCCGTGCGACGAGAATAATCTAACAACAAAGGACAAGAAGCCAAAGGAGGAGGAGCAACCAAAGGTGAAGCAGGAGGAACAGTGGAGATGTACTCATCAGACGAGACTTTAGAAGGAAATGGATCAATATGAATCAAATTCTCTTTGGAAACTGGGGCAGTGAGAGGAGGAGAAAGCTAAAAGTAAGGTAGACATTCGAGAAAGGCAACATGGCGGGAGACATAAAGGCGACGGAAAACAGGGTTATAACAGCAACAACCTTTCTGAGTGAGACTATAACCCAAAAAGACACATAGGATAGATCGGACACTATGTTTTGGTCTTATCTTTACAGGGTACAAGGACAAAACAAACAGACCCAAACACATAAAGGAGGGAGTAATTAGGAAGTTGGGAAAACAGAGCCTCATAAGGAAACCGACCAGAAAGAAGGGGGGTAGGCATACGGTTGAGGAAAAAAGCAGTAGTAAGAACTGTTTCAGCCCAAAATAGAGCCAGAACGGAGACAAAGAGGAGTGACCTAGTTGTCTCAAAAAAATGACAGTGTTTACGCTTAAGTCGACCATTTTGGGCGAGTGTATCAGTACAAGAAGTTTGGTAAATGGTACCCAATTTTGCCAAGTTTTCACATAATTCAGTTTTAAAGTATTCCCCACCCAAGTCAGACAGCAACAATTTAATAATAGACCCAAACTGTGTAGTGATCATAGACTGGAAAGTACAGTATATCTGGTAGAAGTCAGACTTATGGGTCATAAGATAAACCCAAGTCTAACGGGTGCAGTCATCAACAAAAGACGCATGGTATGCATAATCCCTTTTGGTAAGAACAGGAGAAGGGCCCCAAACAGCAGCATGGACTAAAGAAAATGGTGTATCAGATATAGAAATACTTTTATGAAAGGATAAGGCTGTCATTTTGGCAAGTTTACACCCTCGACATTCAGTAAGTCTATTAAGAGAAACTTTATCCAATATATCCGACTGAGCTAAAGACCGTAAGCGATCAGCAGACAAATGTCCTAATCTAGAATGCCACAAGTAGAAAG